TTTTGTCCTAAACGACTTTGGTGACTTAATGTAGTCCCAGAGTTTTGTGTTTTTACTCAATTTCGTCCCAGATTTTTGTATTTTTGCTCAATTTAGTCCCTCATTTGTTATTCCGTCCATTTGTTGTTAAATAAATAGACAATTCAGTAATTTTAATATTGGCATCTCTTTATTCATAGACATGTGAAGTGCGAAATCCCTCTTTTTTTACGAATTACTCCCAGAATCACTTCTAAAGCTGCGAATATAAAATTTGATTCGTATGTCTGAGAGTAACTCTGGGTGTAATTCGTGTAAGAAAGAGAGATTTCTCACTTCGTAGGTTGAAAGTAAAGAGAGGTCAATATTGATATTATTGAATTGTCCCTTTATTTAACACCAATTTGACGGAATAACAAACGGAGGACTAAATTGAGCGAAACACAAAAGTCTGGAACTATATTAGGTCACCAAAATCATTTAGGACGAAATTGAGAAAAATCACTATAGTCGAGGACAATTTTAGGTATTAACTCATTAAAATACTTTAACCATCAAAAGAATTGATTTTTCTAAAATCAATTGCCTCAACGATTATTTATTCTCAAAATTTCTCTATACTTCTACTTCGTCTCAAATCTTTTATTCTCAATTCACACCTCCTCTCAACTAGCTCAAGGCTCGATTGAAGAATTTCAAGTTATGTAATTCTCAAGTACTTCATTAACTTCGAGCAGACTTTGTTGAATACATATGTGCTATTAACAATAATTAATTTTCTTTTAATGTATTAAGTAGTGTAGCTCAATTTCTTTTTTAATATCGTGTATTTCATATTTTGCGATTTAGTATTTAATATTTTGTATTCGCTTTTAAAATTTATTGTGATGTTATTTGTCTCAATTTTATTTTTTAATTCAATAATTATTTTATTTATTTATTTAAAAATATTAATTTAAAATTAAAATTATAGTAAAGTGAATAAAGTATTAAATTATTATGTGGAGTAGGACCCACAAAATGAGAAGAAAATGAGAGAAGAATTGAAGAAAAAATAATGAAATGCGAAAGAGTTGGACCCATAAAATGAAGAGAAAACGAGATAAGGGAAGGAAATTCTCTTAGAGCAATTCTAACAATTGTTCTCTGTTCTCCTATCCTCCAATTTTTCAAAAAATTAGAGAAATTTTCAGTTAGTAAACGGGCCATTGATTTTTTGTTTTTTGTTTTTTTTTTTTAGTTATATTTTTATCTAAGTTTTTTTTTGTTTTTTGTTTTTTGTTTTTTGTTTTTTGGTTTTTGTTTTTTTTTTTTGTTTCTTTTTCTTTTTGTTTCTCCTATTCCCCAATATTTTTCTTTTTTTTTTTTTTTTCCCTTTCACCTCACCTCAAATGTCAGACAAAAGTCATAAAAAACCACAGATAAAATTGCTCTTAAACTAATAATTTTTTCTTAAAAGGTCTTCATCTTTCATCTTTTTTTCCCATTGAAACAGAAAGTAACCCAATTAGTGCAAACTATATTGCAAGTGGCCAAGTGCACACTCCAAAAGGGTGGTGAAGTGAGGGACAGTTTTAATTTGAAAATATTTTTTTTATTCCTAATTGATGCTAATATTAAATAAAATAATTGTAAATTTAAAAAATTAACATTATTATACAAAAATGCTTAAACTTATAAGATATTATTTAAATATTATGAATTTGATTCTTATTAATATTAATTTTAAAAAATATAATGTGACAATTACAAAACGAGCTGAGTGAGTTTTATGTGAGACCGTCTCAGGTATTCTTATGTGTGAGATGGGTCAAGTCATGATGAAAATGTAATACTTATGTTAAACGAGTTGAGTGAGTTTTATGTGAGACCGTCTCAGGTATTCTTATGTGTGAGATGGGTCAAGTCATGATGAATAAAAATGTACTCCGTAATACTTTTAGATCAGAATTGAATGTAATATTTAGGGTTAAATAGTTACTTTTGAGAACAAAATGAAATAATAATCATGGATAAATTTTTTAATTGTTATTTATGAGAGAAAGTGTAATACATATGACGAAAAATGTGAGACTTTTAAATCAAAATATAATATTAAGAGTTGAAGAGTTAATTATGATGAAATTTGTAATACTTATATAAAAAAAATGTAATACTTTTATATATATATATATATATATATATATATATATATATATAAATTAGCCCGTTTCATTAATAATGATATGTAAGACGATCTCAAAAAAACATTTATTTTACAAAGGAAAATACTACTCCTACTTCCAAATTCTAATCCAAACTTTTGTTCTCTCTAACAAAATTTTGATGTCAACATTTCCATTGGAATTTTCATGATGAAAATAACTAATCATCAATTCTCACATAAAGAAATAAAAACAAGAGAATAGGAATATCAAATATGGAGTAAATATAGTAAAATTCTTTTACAAAACTACATGTGATAAAATGTTGACATGACATAAAGTACCTTAGTTTCCCCACATAAAACCTCCCTCTTTCTATAGTTGACTTGGCCACTTGGGTGACAAGATTAAAGATGAAAGGAAAGATAAAACAAGGAAAAAAAAAAGATACTAGCTGTCTAGCTCTCTCGGATCAATTAAAATTAATGTCTTCAAGTACAATATTAGTTTAGTGAGTCACAAAATTTATACATTATATGATTAACAAATGCAGTGCAATCCAATAAGTCTTTAAAATTAATGTGATAGACTATGGACTTGCAAAATGTAAATGTGATGAGGTTAGATTGTTTTTTTTCCTCTTTGGGTTAACCTTCGATTTTTCGACTTTTGATTTTCTCTTGAAAAATCAATAACCGACAGAAAAACCGAAATAACCGAATTTGTTTGACCTTAATAATCGAAATCGAACTGAAAACTGAAATATTTGGACGATTAGATTTTCGGTCATCGATTTTTCGGTCTATTTGCTTTATTTTTTTTGCTCACCCCTACTAGGTAGGCTAGGTAATAAGTTGCTATTAATAGCAAAAAATAATTGTACCTTTTTTATATAACATATTCAACCATAACTAATGATTCATAATTTACTAAAATAGAATTAGGAAAATGTTCAAATATGCCTAATAATAGTCAATTATTCATTGATAATAACCCGTCACAAGGATTTTAGTGACGAAGATCGACGACCGGCGATCACTTGCAAATTGCCTTTGAAGAAGACAAAGGCGACTGGCGACTTGTAAATGATTGCCGGTATCCTTCTTCTTGAAAGTAAGACAATAATGCCAAACAAACGTAATAAACTAATTCTTCATATATGAATGATCCGATTTAAGCATTAAGTTGATCAAGTCTTTCTAGATAAGCTAGACCAACAAAGTCATTCGATATGAATCGAGTTGACTGAATCTATCAAAATGAACTAAGTGATGCACAATTATTCCGTCACCAATCCTTACTTTCAAATTTAGGAAAATACTACATGGACTCTCATTTTTTACTCCCAACTTTTACTCCTCACACTTTTTCTGGGATCCATATGATGAAAATATCCTATCATTATTTGCCACATCATGGAGTAAAAGTAAGATAGTAAAATATAAGAGTACATGTACTAGAACTCCCAAACTTATGAGCATGTCAAATTGATCGTGTAAAATTACATCTCCTAGTAATTAAGAAACAAGTTCTACTACATGGACTCTCAAATTTTACTCCCAAGTTTTACTACATGGACTCTCAAATCTCACTCCCTAAATTTTAATCCCTGATGGGGCGGGCACTTGATAAGCTACTTTTTTAATGTGAGTCCCAATACAAATGTTTACATCAATATTTTGTGTGTGAGAGTAAAAATTGGAGTAGAATATGGGAGTACGCAGTAGAGAAACTCTATACCATTGTCGCTTTCCTCAAGATTATGGAGATGTTTTGTAAATAGCTGTTAGCTGATTGGGTTAGTGTGTTTAACTAGTTGATAACATTAGCTGATTGTAGAAAAGTTTTTAGTAAATTAGTTATTAGTTGATAGCTGATTAATGCAAAATGAATTTTAGCATTTTAGAGTAATAAGCTATTACAAAAAGCTAAATAATCAAACACTCATATTGATTGTTTAACCAAGTCAAACAATTAATAGTAAAGCAAGATAAAGGAGATATATTTTAAGATATTAGTCAAAATTAGATTGTATTAACAATTCATAAATAAAATCCGACAACAATATCTAGGTAGATGAATTATCATTTATGTAGTAGGTAGCCAACAAGTAAAATTAAAATTTTAAAAAGTAAAATTAAAATTTAGAGTGTGGATAGAATTGATTTATTTGACCAAAATTTTTAAAATTTTAAAAAGTAAAATTGCTAAGAGTGTGGATAGAATTGATTTATTTGACCAAAATTTTTTTTTGAATGAACCAATAACGCCTCCAGTGAGGCTCAAACTCACAATCTTTCAAATGGAAGTCCAACCCGGATACCATTTGACTAAAATTTTTAAAATATAAAAAAGTAAAATTAAAATGATATTCAAAGTAGCAATGTTAATATACTTAATAATTAGTCAACTACAATGCAGTGTGATAACATCTTTGTATTCCAAATAGATGATCACAGAATCAAATCTGGAGGCATTAATATTTTGAGCTGAAAAAGATTAAAAATTATAGATAATTAAAATGAACTTTAATACTCGAAAAAAGATAGCCCGTGGATGAAACATGAGTCTCGTACAAAAAAAATAAAAAAATAAAAAAAGTTCGTCCTCGAAGTTGATAGATCAAGTATATATGTCACACGATGTTCACACACAAAAAGAAAAAGTCACATTTTCATTGGGGGTTTAAGCCCTTTCATCCAAACCATCTCCTGCAAGTCTACAACTACTCTCACAGTCCTTACACATAAAACATCATATTATTATTTCTTGTTTTTATCAACAAAAATTCTTTATAAGTAAAAATTTGTTCTTGGTCTCTTCCATCTTGTTTGGTTGCCCTATATGATTCTTTTTGAGGATAAAAAAAAACCCTATATGATTCTTAGTTTTAAAGTTGGCACAATTGCACCAGCAACAATATCAGTAGCAGCAGCATAAACTCACTATAATTTCTGCAATGGATCATTTTGTGGATGATTTATGTTCTTCCCTTGAGAATCTTGTTCAACCCTTTTTAACTCATGATGATGCAGCCCCAAGCAATGAAGCTGATCATGGTAAAATTTTCTGCTTTTTACTTTTTTGGATGCTGACTTAATTACCTCTTGCATAGTATATTAGGGCATTTAATTTTCAGAATTTTCTACTGCAAAGAATTACAGTTTGCTTCTACAAACTCAAATTTTTTGCCCAGAGGAGGGATATGATATGATCAAACTGTAATCTTGATAATCTGTAGTGTTTCCAAGTTTCTGGAATGCGAAGTGGGGTTTTACCCCTGTAAATATTTGGGGAAAACAGAAAATTACCATAAAGGATACAGTGAAATTTTACCTGCACATGAGTAACCTGTTGCCCTTTTATATTCTAGTTGGAAACATGATACGATCCCACGAGAAATTGTAAAGTGGTATTTGAAGGCTTGATGGGTTCTCTGTATATAGTTCATGATGCCCCTCTTTTGACTTTCGTTTTAGATTCGGTACTAGTTTCTAGTACTAGTATCTCTTTTGTTAGTTTTCTCTGTTATTTTGATTCATCCTATGTTTTTTATGTGGTGTTACAACATTTGATGATGTAGTTTTAGTCGGTCTAATGCGTTGGAATGAACCTGATGTATATAAATTGTAATGTTAGGGTTCACATTTGCGGAACTAAACTCTGTTCGTGCAAGTGCCAGTAAAGTTATCTGTTGCGATTTCTCATCGGATGGAAAACTGCTTGTCAGTGGGGGGCATGATAAAAAGGTGAACACAATTTCTCGCCCTTATTGGTTCATAACGTTAATTGTTTCGTTTGATTATTATTTGGTCGTGCAGGCTGTTTTGTGGCATACGGACACCTTAACGCCAAAAGCTACATTCGAAGAGCATTCGTTACTCGTTACTGATGTTCGTTTCAGTCCAAGCATGTCCTGTATTGCAACATCTTCTTTTGACAGGACTATAAGAGTTTGGTCTGCTGACAATCATGTAAGCTAGCCAACAATGTACTATGTTTTGTTTTTCTTCACGATTTTTTTCTAGCATTAACGCTATTGGTTTGTTCCGTAGCATGGCTACTCGATTCGGAATTTTACTGGGCATTCTGCTGCCATATTGTCACTCGATTTCCATCCCAATAATGAAGATATGATCTGTTCGTGTGACGGGGATGGCGAGATTAGGTACTGGAGCGTCACCAATGGATGTTGCACGAGAGTCTCAATGGTGCAGTAATTTATATTCGATTTTCTTTCCTCGTTGCCATTGCTCATAACCGCCCATAACCCCAAACAGCATAAACAGATGAACATTATATCGCTTTCTGTAGATTATACTCGTTTTCTTATAATATATCATGACTTGAGATCTTTTGTCCGTTATTCGGTATAGGGTGGCATGACTCAGGTGAGATTTCAGCCCCGTCTTGGCAGGTATCTTGCAGCAGCAGGCGAGAATGATGTATCGATTATTGATGTCGAAACGCAAACGTGCAGACAGACACTAAAGGTGCTACTTTTACAGACATATTATGTTGAAATGACCGTCTTTATTGAGAATAATGTATATAAACAATAAACGTGCAATCTAACTATCAGCTTAAAACGTTTCGTTAAAACTGAACGTGTTAAGGGCTGTTCTTCCATTGGCAGGGTACAAAACCTGTTAACTATGTCTGCTGGGACCCCTCGGGTGAGCTACTTGTTACAGTCAGTGAAGATTCTGTGAGAGTATGGGCACTCGGTTCTGGGAGCGTATGGAATTGTGTACACGAACTCGGTTCGAATCACAGTAAATTTCACTCCTGCGTTTTCCATCCTGTATACACTTCATTGCTAGTTATTGGCTGTAACCAGGCAAGTTACATTCTCGGGCTTATATATCTATCTCCACTTAGACTATAAGGAATGCTAGTTATATATATATAATCCATTCAACGATGTGGTTCTCGTATTAGTACAAGATCGAGTAGCGGGATTTGTCCCAACACGTGCTGATGTGCAGAGCGTTTTGTTGCAGTCTTTGGAGCTGTGGAACATGAGCGAGAACAAGACCATGGCAGTTCCTGCACACGAACGAATAATTTCTTCATTGGCTGCATCTGCTGCCACGGGTTTGATTGCTTCTGCTAGTCACGATCAGATGATCAAACTCTGGAAGTAGCAGCATTTGCTTCAATGATTTTCGCCCTGCTGTTATATGTTCAACTATTTTAGTACTGTTAGTTTTATGGTGTTGGGTAGCTTGGTCTCTGTGGTAATTTAAGACACAAGGCCAACCTGTCTGTTTATTATCCTGGAAAACTGGATTTTGTATAATGAATTGAAGTGTTTCAGTTGTGATCTTCCATTTTTACCTGTATATGAGCTTGGATGAATTCAAATGTGTAATCTCAAGCTTTGTTAAGTTGGCCAAACTTTGTTAGGAGGGAAATGAATTGTTTTGTGGAAAATGAAGGAATAATGTGAGAACAAAGTAAAAATTTAAATCCGAGTATGATCTTTGTACTATACCATTCAAAATTCTCTAGAACGGGAACAGTCAAAGAAGGCCGATCACTCGCGGCAGGCAGTCAGAAAGGGAGAACCCATTCGGGTGCAGCACCCAGTTCCGTGAGTCAATTAGAATACTTTAAGAATTAACTTTTCATTCACTCATTCTCAAATGTCGTCAATTTAGGGAAAATTCGAACATGTGACATTCCATTTAAGAGATCTGCATAACTACCATTGAATTACAAGCTATTTGATATATTTTACGGAGTAATATTTTGTTAAATCCTCTCCAATTGAATACAACAAATGCCAACTCACATATTAGTTGTCATGAGATTCTCTATTCCTTTTCTTTAACATATGATATCTGAGGAGATTTTGCATTCACCATTATTGCACTTGTTTATTCTCACTATAAATTCAGATTCCATCTAAAGTACAAAATTTTGTATATATATGCACTTTATCAATGTTTCGTCTGACCTAATGTATTATATTATAGTTGATGTAGACAATGAAATTTTGATAAAAATAATTATTTTTATTTAAATACTTGAATATATTTTGGATAATATTTGATATTATCTAATTTATTTAATTAAATAATAACAAAAAGTGTTTAACAAAAAAATTGGATTTGAATATATATATATATATATATATATATATATATATATATATATATATATATATATATATATAGTTCAATTTTGTATGTTTACAAGTTGGCTAATAATTTAATAAAAGAAAAACTTGTAATAATCAATCAAAAAATATTTTCAATGTCAAAAGTAAAAATGTAATTGTCTTATATAGTACAAGGAGAAGAAGGGCCATCCAAATACGCAAGTATAAAACCTTAATTCTATAGTAGGGCAAAAATGAACAGTATTTATTATATGTATTCAAAGTTTTGTATTCTTTTTTTTTTTTTTGGACAAAAACCAAAGCCATATATTAATGGAAGAAATGTTGAATACAAGAAGGAAGAGAAGATAATCAAATACATGAATCAGCCCGAGAATTTACCGCCTTAGTTAAGGTGTGGGCAAACACATTCAATGACCTACGAATATATCTGAAGGACACTGTATCAAAGTGCCTAGCAAGTAAACGACATTTCTCGATAATACAACCAGCGTAAGAACGATCCGTAGATGGCGAATTCAAAAAGATACAGACGTTTAGACAAGAACAATGGCTCAGATTTAACCGCACAAACGCACAAGACACACCCCAACCGCACGGAAACTGAATTATACACACACACACACACACACACACACACACACACACACACACACACACATATATATATATATATATATATATATATATATATATATATATATGTATATATATATATATATATATATATATATATATATATATATATATATATATATATATATATATATATTATATATATATATATATATATATATATATATATATATATATATATATATGGTAGGGTTTCAGTGAGAACATGTGGTTAGGTGAGAACATGAGAACACATCATGTGCATGCATCTAATATTTTTTAATGGTATAGATTAGATTAAGTGTGTGCGTACGCGCATTAAATATGTGCAAACAGACTTAATCGCGTTTGCACACATTTAATGCGCGTTCGCACACACTTAATCTAATCTAAACCATTAAAAAATATTAGATAGATGCACACGATTTGTTCTCACATTCTCACCTAAGCAGGTGTTCTCATATGATCTTAAGTCTATATATATATATATATATATATATATATATATATATATATATATATATATATATATTGTGTGTGTGTGCGCGCGCACGCGCGTGTAGGTATTTTAATACGAGATAATTATTTATTTGTAAGTTATTATAACATAAAAATAACAAATATATGTAGACATACATTCAGACTTGTTCTCTATCTATTATATTTATTTTCCAATTTTAAAATTTTGAGGGGCAACATATACTTGCACCACTTTTCTTATTGTATATCGTATAATAAATTCTTATTTTTAATAATTACATTTATGCATATCAAAAGTTAATTAATTTTACAATTTGGTTAAATTGATTTCAAATGAAATTTTTATTTCAAATTCTTTACCTACCAACTACAACAATTCCACGTAATTTTTGCTCACATAATGTTGGAAAAAATAGCTTAAAATGGCATAAAATGACATGTTAAGTGGCTATTTTGTGGTACAATTATCAGTGGGGTCCACTTCCAATTTGGGTCGGGTTAAAGTGGATTCGGATTCTTCGTAGTGAGACGAAGAGATCGATATATTGTACGCTCAAAACGGATAATGGGTGAATGAGATATTGATTCTCAAAGTAGACCCATTTGAGTTGGAAAATGAAGGGAAAAAAGTGAGCTTTTTGTCCCACATTGCTTTGGAATGAAGATTTTCCCCCCCTTATATACAAGAGCTCTTTTGAAGCTTGTAGAATTGTATAGCATAGAGGCTCTCTCGCGCGGGAGGGGGGGGGGGGGGGTGCAAATCAAATTCCAACTAGCAGAGATTGAAAAAAAGGCTTGATTCAAGCCCGAGCTCGTGTGCGCCGGCACCTGAGGGTAGAGGCAGTAGAGTTTTACACACAGCACGAAAGTATATTTTTCCAGCTTCAAAAATCTCTGCTTCTACTCTTTCTTTAGCTATACTGTGTTCATAGCCATTGTCTTGCTCGCCGGATCCTTTGTTTGAATGCTCAAACATTGGATCATAGCAAGTTTTATCCTGGGAAGCCTAGGCCACAACACTCCTAGCATTTACGGGAGGTGGCAAATAAGGTTTTAAGGAAAGAGTGCTCACTCGACTCTTGCAAAAACCCAACACCAAACACTAGCCAATTTTCTTCATCTTTTCTTCCCTTCTTTCCAAGGAAAATAATAGTCAATTTTATTTGATTATTATTTGTTTTCTACCAACGGAACCAACACATAACAATAGTTTTGCATGCCACCACTTCTACATTGATATAGTAGTTAATCGATCATGCACGAATGCACCTTTAAGTCAATTGACTAGTTACCTTGTAGACTAGTTGATCACCATTGAGATCAATCAGTCAATTGTGTCTTGTAGACCAATCGAGATCATCCATTGGATGACGAACCACCTACTCCCCCTTCCCCCTTCTACACAACTAATCTGTTCCTATCACAACGTACTCCAAATCGACACTCGAACCCACCATACTTTTGGACCCATATCTCCACTTGATAAGTTTTAATTAGATGATGAAATTGAGACTATAATTTTTATTCACATTAAGATGGAAAACGAAGGACGATGAAAAAAATAATAATTTTTTACCAATAATGAATATACTATTAAATATTCAGTATATATAAAATTATTAATACAACAATAGTAAAATTGTACTTTCTTTAATATTGACAAACTCTAAGGTAAATCAAATTGTATATTTGAATATGATATGATTATTTTAAAACAAATGGTAATTAACTCAATCGATATTGTGTATTTATATATGTGATTGAGGAGCTGAGGACTCAGTAACATTTTAAGTGGTGTCATCAAGGCAAGTAATAAGCCATTAAGTACGACGAGCGAACCACATATAGCTATCATCATTGTCCTTCTATGTTTATTCTTAATTATATGCGAAGATCGAAAATATATATATATTTAATATATTCATTTGTTAGCATCGTAGTATGAGTTCATAAAAAATTATACTTCAAATTTAAAGTAAATATAGAATAAACATAAAAAAATGGAAAAATGAAGTTAGCTAGGAAGAAGAGGCGAGCACTTACATAAAGTTAAGGATGCACCAAAACCCAACAACACATGATGGGATGGTCCCATATAGGAAGAAGGAAAGAAGAAAGAAAGTAGAAAGAAAGTGAAGGTGTGAGGGAGCCATTGCAAATGGGATGTACCAACTTAAATAGGGACCTATACCCTTGGTCACCAAGAAATTTTCTATTTAATTATTAAGGAAAAAAAAAAAAAAAAGACTTGCTCACCAAGATACATTGCAATTTTATTAAATTCCAAAAAGCACTACAAAAAATTAATAGTAGTAGCATGAAATAGTTGACCACATGTGTATCATGTTATAGCTATTTGAATTGACCAAAATATAATATATTGATTTTTTATTGGCCATTATTACCTTGCTCGCCAAGATCTTTGCAACTTTTTCATGGGTCTATTTCTTTCTTTTTAAAAAATTATAATTTATGTCCCTCACAAATATGTCAATTATTAATGTCACCCCTAAATTATTAGTGATGTAAATGTTGCCCCTCAATTTTCAAAACGTGACATATATTGCACTCCTCTTATATAATAGGAAGAATGAGAAACATTGTTGTTGGCGGAAGGAGAACAAACGAAGAAAGAAAAATGGAGGAAAAAAAACGTCGTCTTCGAACAGGAAAGACATCGAGTAACCACATTTACACCACTAATAATTCAAGAGATGAGCAATATATGTCACGTTTTAAAAATTAAGGAACAACATTTACACCATTAATAATTTAAAGGTAACATTGATAATTAACATTTCTGTGAGAGGTATAAATTATAATTTTTCATTCTTTCTTTCTTTCTTTAAAATTTTCATTTATTTCAATAGTTTTTTTGACTTATGTAATTCGAAATGTCTTTTAGTTTGCTCAGACAAGAATCAAACTCCTTACATAAAGTTATGTGTTTCTTAAATTCTTTTTAATATTTTTTTTCTTGGTTAAAAAAATTGAATATAGTCGTACAAATGTACAATTATAAATTGTATTTCAAGTGTAATTATCTTGTAATATTTCTAGTAATTAATTACTCTGAAGTATACTCTCAAATCAAATAAATTAGATAAACACTGGTCATTGCCTGCACAAACTTAATTCATTGATTTAATAAGCAGTATTTGGTAAAAA